ATATGTAGAATTTATTTCAATTTTATTTACATTTAATATTAATTGAAGAAATCTGGGAAATAATAATTTTTCCTATCAAATGAATTTCTACTCAATTCATATAGGTTAGATAGATTGCAGTTATCTCGCTTTGTACGTTGCAGTGTTGAGAAAATGCCCTTGACTCACAAATTATGACAACAAATTACGTGTAATCTGATAGTAGAGTGCACATGTACCAAAAATGCACCCCGGGACTACCAAGATTTTGGTTTGTTTTTCCGAGCAAGGTAAAACTCCCAGTATTCTGTAACTCAATCTATGCCCTAAAGAAAATTCACCAATTAATATGGGGTTTTTCACCTTCTTCTAAGGCCTACGGCTTTTCAGCTTAATTTCCTCTGCAACTGACCACGTGTTTTAGTTTCGCATTTACAGCTCTGTATATGCTAAGTGCCATAGTAATACCTACATGTTGCACATCATTCTTTTACAGCAAGCACTCTGATTCACTGCAAATGTCTCTCATAATTATTCTAATCATTTGTCTACATCAAATATCACATAAAACAGGGAATATCTCAGTTTTTAAAGAAATTTGACCGGGACTTTACTACGAAACTATTTCTTTCGCTTCGAAACTATTTCCTTCAACCTTAAAAAAATAAGCTTACAAAATATCTTAAATGTTGTGGAATTTGGTGGCTCAGTGGTTAGCGTGTCCGACTTTCATACTAATGGTTTTGGGATCGAGCCCAGATGGAGAAATTATTATTATTTTTTTTTTGCATTTTGCTTTTTTTTAAATAGAAATAGAAAAATATCCTTCTTACAGATAATTATAGGAGAACGGAAGACCTTCTTTGTTGCTGTAGCAACAAGAGTTTCTAGTTATTATTTTTTTTCTTCTTTTTCTTCCTGGGTACCTTTTTGTCCCGGAGTGATCTGGTAAACTACAAATCCGATTTAGGTAAAACCTTTTTAGGGTCAGTAGGCATGTTATGTAGATTTGCGGAATGAAGGTCATTTTGCGCCCACGTGCTTGCAAGAGCTGTGAAATGACCAATATAATAGATATATCCATAACTTTTCTATTTTTTGATTATCTGCTTTGAAACTCATAATATAAGTATATATTAGTAGTATAGACATGATGACATGGTCAAAATAGCAAGAACTCACGCGCATGCACGTGTGCTTCGCTCTGATTGGCTGAAACTAAAATCTCAATATCTTTCTTGTTTTTTGACAAAATCCTTTGAAATTTTGAATATATTCATGGACTTTGAAGATCTACAGCATGATATATAAGAATTATCATGAAAGCATGTGCATGCACGTGTGCTGCAGTCTGATTAGCTGAAACTTTAAATGTCTATAACTTTCTTAGTTCTCAACGAAACGGGATGAAATTCAGAATATGAATAGGTATAATAGATATCTACATTATGCTACTATCAAATTAATATTCACGGACAAGCATACATGCCCGTGCGCACGCGCAATACGTAAAATAACCAATATATTTGAAAAACAGTAACATTTATATTTTTATGATATTTTTATCAATTCTCACGATAAACAGATATGTTAATGGTTTAGACAACATAACATTATCAGCTTGCATGTGCGTGCGCATGCAATACGTTAAATGGGATATAGTTGATATCATTGTAGTTTTGATAATTATATGATGAAATTGCTTAATACTGATCATATTTTTAAAAAGTCTTACAGGAAAAATGGCGCAAAAAGGGAGTTGGGGAGCGTTTGGGGAACATATGTAACGGTCCCTGTTTAAATTAGAACTAGTTATATAATAGTGTTGTGTTTTGCATGCACTATGTCTGAATGGATATCAGAGTTTGACACATGGTACACGAGTCGGAGGCAAACCTTGACTACTATTTACCCTGACTATTATTTAGGCGCTGTCGGATTTTCCTTAGAAAAAGTGAACTTTTTCGGCATAGTATGCTTTGAAAAAATATATGTAAAACCAATTTTCTGAATTTAGATTTAAGTAATGGAAAGTTTTGATTTTTTTTTATCTATCAAATAGCTTTTTACTACCGTCGGGAAGAGCAGAAGACAGGTAGAAGAACTCTGAGCCCAGCACTTTATCTTTTCATTATACAAGTGTCGGTAGCAAATAAAACAAGGAGGGGAGTAATAAACCCCAAAACGGGTAAGCTACATTTTCAATGCCTATACGATGTATATTTTCCCAAAATAAATGGGGGACTTAGCCTCTCCCCTTGCCCGACCTTCACCCGGTTTCGATGCCTATGCTAATCCATTAACATGTATATATGTATTCACATACCTAGTATGGCGTTGACAATTTCAATGAATGAGTTATCTTTAAATCGACGAAACCTAAAATTTTCAGTACATTAAAACGTTTGATAGAGAAAGAATTTTCATTGTTTTGAAAAATCAAATTGCCCTCTTTTCTTATGATAAAATGCGATGATTTAAGGTTGTTTACATCTACAGCCCCATACAAATATACTTTTTCACAAAAAGAAAGGATTCGAAATAATGAAATTAAACAATCATCTTTCCATTTTTCTAAAAGACCCATTACCTATTATAACATTAATCAAAACCTAAAATATTTAAAAGGTCAATATTTCATGACCTGAAGTGACTTTATCATAAAATAAGTTAGCCAACCAGGATCGATTTATCATACCGATTATTTGTAAGAATAGTTATCAAGCTTTGTATTTTTTTTCAAAGTGCATTAATATGGTCGATATCAACGCACTTTGAAAAAAAAATTCCAAGTGCGTAAGCTTGGTCCCAAATTTAACGTACTTTGAAAAAAAATTTTCAAAGTGCGTAATTTTGCAAAATGCGTTGTAACATACGTTGTTTTATGTACTTGAATAATGTACACATTATCTACTCAAAAAATAACAATATTGATTTTAATCGACTTTTTAAGGATTGCTGAGGGGTCACTATAGGACTGATGATCTGAGATTGTTGACTACTTTCTGTAAGGTTGGATCATGTTAGTATACAGTTATTGAATGTGTAGGTGGGAAAAAGCAAATTTATGGTTCCCCGATGGAGGAAACTATTTCCTGAGGCAGCGAAGCCGCCGATGGAAATAGTTTTCTACCATTCCCGAGGTTGCAAAGCCGCCGATTGAAAAAGTTTCCTGCCATGAGGAACCATAAAATTGCTATTTCTCGAGGTCACTCTCAATAACTGTTTTATTTTACAGCTATTTTTTACCAGATATTCCGATATTTATTTTAAAAAAAACCCTGGAGGAATAATTAATAATGGATGCGGTTTCAAAAATCTTATGACAAGTAATGCATCGTGTCCTAAAACAAGTAAATTATTTTCAAAAAGTATTCTCACTGATATTTCGAAGAATTATCGTTGTCTTCATTTTGCTAGAATTCAAGTATGGCATGTCGAAATGTTTTGACATGACAGTTACATTGCTAATAACATTACGTCAAAGACTCGAGATTCCTTGAGCACTTCGCCCACGTAGCACTTTGATTGGTTAAAATTGCTAATAAATATTCATAAGAGACTAGTCCCAGGGAAAACCTCTGATTTTCAAAAGAGTAATCTTCAGATGAGGGAAATAGTACCTCCTCGGAAAATAGCCAGTTTTATTGTATTAATTTTGTATCGCGTAATTACAGCAGAAGAACAATAATACTGTATGTTTTTAAATCAACAATATGGCGACTGCAAGTTATTTAAGGCTTGTTATTGGTATTTCATTATAATTGTTCGAATAAAAATTTCATAAGAACCATGTCTATTACACAGAGAAAGTTTAAATTAATTTTATTTTACAAACTTTCTACTTAATAATTTTCTATAGCCAATGCACATCATGATGTCATATTTTGATGTCATAGTTTCATACTTGGATATTCAACTTGAAAAAAGAATAGTAATAACAATCAAGTTATATCATAAAAGTGATGACTTCAACCTTTTCAACTCCACTTACTTATGCAGCAATATTCCTTTATCACCTGCATATGGAGTGTATATATCTCAGTTAATTCAAGAGCATGCTCTACGTATGAACAGTTTATTTAACGGCGTAAATTATTGACAAACAAGTTGATGAATCAAGGATATCAACAGTAAAATCTATGGTCGATACAATGACCTTGTCAGCAAATACATTTTATTATTAATGCAAATCTAACAGACATTTTTTATACTACATGTAATTGTTAGTCCATTATTTATACACTGAATTAACGACGGTTGTTTCCGTTATTTCACGATCATGACATAGAGCACATGGAGGATGTGACCGGTCAGCAGGGGATGCTCCCTCTTCCATGGCACCTGATCCCACCTCTGATGTTTCGGGGTTTCGTGTTTGCTCTGCTCTTATTTTGTATTGTTTTACTGACTTTGAGATTGAATTCTGTTCGTTATCTCCATATCCTTCTTTACTTCCTGAGATAAAAAAACTCGACAAAACAGCTTCGTAACAGGGACATATTCTATTTCGATTTACATGGATTATATCATGCAAAGTGGAATATTCTTGAGTAAATAAAATTATTGCCCAAATCCTAGTTACTTCCCACTTTGATAATACAAGGATTTGAAGAAAGTAGATCTGACTGTCCATTTTTATCTGAAAATTTATAGATAGAAACTTAACAACTTATCGTGGATATTTTTGCAGCAATATTAATGATCCTTCAAAAAGTCTGCTTTTTATTATACATGGCTTCTGTAAAACAGAATAGGACTTGAGCTGAAGCATGTTATGTGATGTTTTATAAACTTATATATGGAAGAACAATGGCATAAAGCATGACACCGTAATGTTGGTGTCAAGTTTGTATAATAAGGAAATGTTAACATTTCTGTTTGATAGGTAAAGCCTTTATTCGTTTTAATAAGTGTCATTGCATAAATTATCTATACTTTGCGCAACTTACTTGTGATGTGCAATATTATATGACCTCATTAACATTTCCATAAAAAAAAAACATCATTACAATACATACGTGAGGTAAGTTTGGTCAGTAAATCCCTGATTTCCTTATTTTCCTGCCGTAATTGCTCATCTGATTCACGCTGAAGCTTCATAGTTGATGTAAGATTGTTCAGATAATCTTTAATTTCCATGATATCTTGTTTGAACTGATCATCTGATTCACGCTGAAGCTTGTTTGTAGACGTTAAATTGTTCAGAAAATCAATCATTTGCACGTGTGCTTGCTCTAAATTATTCAATTCACGTTGAAGCTCACTTGATAACGTAAGGTTTGTCAGTAAATCTTTCATTTCTGTGTGTTCTTTTTGATCTAAACCTTGTTGAAGCTTAGTTGTTAATGTAAGGTTTGTGATTAATTCTTTCATTTCCATGTTATCTTGAAGTAATTGGTCATTTGATTCACGCTGGTGTTTACTCGTTAACGTTATGTTGGTCAGCTGGTCTTTTATATACATACTATCTTGGTAATCTAAATCACGCTGAAGCTTGCTCGTTAAAGTTAGGTTGTTCAGTGAATCTTTTATTTCCATGCTATCTTTTTGTAATTGATCCTCAGATTCACGCTGAAGCTTATTTATTAACGTAAGGTCAGTCAGCAATTTTTTTATTTCCATTTGTTCTTGTCGTAATTGTTCATCTAATTCACTCAATAACTCAATCGTTAACGTAACATTGGCCAGTAAATCTTTCATTTCAATGTTATCTTGTGATAATTGTTCATCTAATTCACGCTTGACCTTACTTGTAACTGTTAGATTAGTCAGTAAATCTTTGATTTCCATGTTATCCTGTTGGTGTAATTCACGCTGACGCTTACTCTTTAACGTAATATTGGTAAGTAAATCTTTGATTTCCAAGTTATCAAGCCGTGTTATATTTTCTAATTCACGCTGAATCCTATTTGTTAAGGTTAGATTGGTCATCAAATCACGCTGGAACTTTATCTGCTCTATTAAGATTGTTCGCAATTCTTCTCTTATCTCTTCATTATTTTTGCAGTAATCTTCCTCATTCAGATAAATGTGCTGAGCGTTTGCACAAAGCAAACCGGAGATGAGGAACGTTATCCACACCATTGCCATGATATCACTTTTCTTCTTTGTCGATTGAGCATTTCTTAAATACATTTACTGAGCAGGAAGTGTTATGTTTTCCCGCTTATTTCTATAATTTTTTTGCCACATTTAGATGTGAAGCAGGATACATAAACTATTTTCCGCTATACTCAATCTGATGATAAGTCTACACCTTGTATCTTTCATTGGGTCAAAGATTCGGTGAATTCATGAATTGCTACATGTCTTACATTTTCTAAGATGATCTATTGTTATATATTTGTTGTGGAGATTGGTATGCTTAAAAATGAATCATTTTACTGTGGAAAGAAATTGTTAAAGAGGTACTAATCACATGAAATATGAAAATAACGAAGAGTAAATATATTGTTCAAACGTCACTACGGCCATGCCCTCCTTCCAATAATCAGATAAATTACAATATTCGTTGACAACTAAGTAAAAGCTTTACAACTATATAAGTTAATCATCAATCGATGCAAAGAAATGTGTTTTGCAACTAGATCATTGTATATACAATAAAATCTGGTATTCAAAGATTTTTTAAATACCCGTAATATCAACATTGTTATCAATAACTTCATTTTTCACAATGATTTTTTTAATATATCCGCACCTACAAATATGCAACAAGACATCTACAATTATGCAACTAGACATCTTCATTTAAATGATGACGATTAATCATTTCAAAACGTGACTCTTTTACAGTGCTCACACTCGGAGATTTAATTGATAAAAGTCGCTGTCATCTAAAATCCGTAAAAGAAAAACAGATCATTAAATTCAATTGACTTACATCTGATGGGAAATTATTGAAAAAAAAACAAACAATCATGCGTCGTTGAAAATTCGGCAAATTTAATGCAAAGAGTGAATATATTTTCAGTAATTCACAAACATTTTAAAGATAATATCCTTGTTATATTATCTAAGTACAAAATTGTAATTCTTCATTTCCTTGATATTCTTTGTACTGTATTGTTCCAGTTTGAAAACACTTTGAAATTATATTCAGGAGTAGAAAAGATTTCATAACGTTTTCACTTTGAAAAGTAATATGGACATTTTGGAAAAAATTCATTATCATCACAAATTACACATTCTTTTCTTTCATGACAACTCATTAAATGTTCTTAGAATGTCACTGTGGACGCTCAATTCGAATGAGACCGTGTAAAAAGAGGTTCCGTCTCTCAGTAGGTACTGGCACAAAGACATCTTGAAAAGTAGAATAAAATAATAATAATTTAAGACGCACGCTAGTACGCAATCGATAAACCAAATTTTTCCTAAAATTCATATTTGTTAAACCTTGCCAATTTTATATGGACACAAAGTCTCTCTTTAGAAGCACATGCAACTTTCTATTTTGTGCTAATATTATCCAATTAGAAGATTGTTAAATCAAAAATTCGTCTTCAATATGTGTATTACTTGAAAATACTATTCAATATTCAAAGCATTTGTGTAATTTTATTTCTAAAGGTACTTTGTTTAGTTAAAAATCTATAAAATTTATAAATGATGGTGTTTTTAATATACACATTCCCAATGTAAAAATGGAACAACTTATGATCTCATTAGACAAAATGAATGATAATTTTACAAAAAAGCAACAGAATAAGTGGTCAAAGTTTGTCTCAATGAGGAAAATTTAACAAGGGGTTAAACATATTTAGAAAATAATAATAATACCGTGAACGGTAAATTTATTTGAGATTTGACTTCTTTTGATTTTGAAATTTATTTAACATGAATTGCAATTTTCTATAAAATGTCCAAATATCAGATCTCTATGATGAATGGATCAAACGTTTCTCTGCCTAAATAAATGACTGTCATATAGCATTAAGATGAGAAACACTTATTCTAGATGTTGGCTCCTAAAGGTACGAAAACGTAAATGGCTCTGCACTTGTTGTGTTATAACTTTGTAAATTGTCTTATATTTTATCGACTTTTCAATATATAATGCGGTATACCTCCTTTTTATACACATATTTTGAATTGTAATAAGATTTTTTGTAACATAATTTAAGCAACTTCTTTTGTTCAAGTAATTTTATTGCTTTAAGTCTTATCAATGAAATACTACAATGATTTTCTGATATCAATCGAAACAAGAGTATTTAATCATGTCAGTATGATATTGTCGATATGAAAAAATAAATATAAAGCTATATCGATATAGATATATGAATATTTTCGAGAAGAAGTAAGAAAAAAAGTGTTTTGGGTTCACTTGGCGGGGGCGGAAATTCTTATGAATCTCCGCTTCACTCGGGAAAGCTTATGTACCTTGTATTTGCTATCGTGTACGATAATAGGCTGACGCAAATTCAAAAACATTTGAAATAGGAAGTTAGGGAAACATCAGCAGTTTGAATATATGCATTGTCATAGGGGGTTATTTAGCCTATCCCCACTTTTGAAGAGGGAATCTGATATATTCTATCCTGGTTCACTGCTCATATCTCTTGAGTTCAGTAGGGGATTGTAAATCGTAAATAAAGCGAAAATAAAATGTAAAAATATTATTAAAGTATCACTGATTAATATGTACCTTGTAAATATTTCATTTTGTTCCACTCTACGGTATACATAGGATCTGACGCATGAACGCGAACATCCACAGTCTTGAAACCCCCAATACGCATTTCTACAAAATGCTGCCCTTTTCTCCATTTTTTTTCTCTCAAGAAAAGCCTGGGCATCCTCTTGCACCAACTTATCTTCATTTGTTACTCATATTTCAAAAATCTGCCCATCTTTCCATATGATGGTTCAACTTCAGTAGCAATGTCAAGAATATACCACAGCCGACAACGTCCATTAACGCTTTGAATTTGTCTAGGGGGATACGTACTTTAAATAGAGCCTCTAAAAAGCGACCACATTTTTTATCAATGTCCATGGAAGTTCTATTTTTCTTTAACTTCTTGTACCAGTGGAAAACCAGTAACTAAATGCATTTTTCTCAAGCCTATGTCAATAATATTTCGATTTAATAGCTAAAAATTAAATCGCTTTATTAGAGAGGCCCATATTCGGGGTTATCGGGTCATTAGTATTTCCCCGTTCTTTCAACTTTTGGTATTTTAGTCGAATCCTTAGGACTTCCTTTTCCGTTAGAGAATGAAGGGGAGCAGACAAATCCTGCATCTTAAAATAAAAATTTGTTTATTTATTTTATATTGTGTTAAGAAATTCCCACCCACAAACATCCTGTATAAAATGTATGAATATATAAAATAAATTGTCTGTTTGGTGTCAATTTTCTGCTGCTTGATTTTTTCTATTTTCAGCCCTTGTACATCTCTTAGTTCAACAACTAACTTCGTCATGGCGCACTGCATGGCTGTAACCTCCGATGGCTGCTGATGTAACCAACTGTAACTGTTCCTGCACCAATGAAGTTATAATTTTCCAGATGCGTTCCACAATCTGTCGGTGGACTTGAATAGTGATTTATATGTGTAGTGAGTATCTTACCCCAGGACTCACTATTTTCTTACATTTGACTGATTTTCGTACGATTCTCGTTTGTATGTATAACGGATGGAATAAGACTGCTTAACAGCTTCATTTGTATATTTGCCTATTTCATATTCATTTCTATATTTGCCTACTTCATGATGATTTTCATTTACATGTATTTGCCATTTGCCATTTGGGTTATCCAAATCGTCCAATGTATTTTCCCATTTCATGATGATTTTCATTTACATGTATTTGCCATTTGCTCTTTGGGTTGCCAAAATCGCCCAGTGTATTTGGGTCGGTAATCTTGGTTACGATTGTAACCAGTAACTAAATGTAATTTCCTGAAAATGTAGTGCTGCCATGGCTTTTATTCGCCATTAAACTTTACGAAATTTATGTATGTGTGGATTTCTCTTATAAATATGTTTAAGATAGAGTGATCCCGGGCTATTCACACTTATAAGCTAAATATCCAGTAAAATCAGTGAAACTCTCACACACAGGTTTATAAAAGATCAAGCAATGATAATTATGGCATAGTTTTCTTTTTTATACCACATCGGGCGGTTTAAATCTTATTTCACGAATTGAGAATATAAATGATAATAAACGCGTTAATGTCTCCCCCGCATTTCCAAACAACCGTTTCTATGGCAATTGCCATAAAGTTACTATCAAAGATATTTAAAATGTTTTTTTTAATTTTAAATATTCATCAAGTGTCTATATTTTCACTTGAATTTTTCGACCAATTCCACTGAAAATAAAAAAAAATATGGAGAAAGTCTTCAAACTTTTGGATCAACCCTCGTATATCTTTATTTTCCATATCAATAATACTATGTCGATATGATTAAATATCTGAAAATCAATATATTATTTCAGTCGATAAAATTTATTGAACAAAAGAAGTTGCCTTAAATTATGTTAAAAAATTTGAATACAATTCAAAATGTGTGTATAAATAAGGGGGTATAACACTTTATATGTTGATAAGTCGATAAAATATAAGACAATATACAAAGTTATAACACAATAAGTGTTGAGCCATTTACGCTTCCGTATAAAGGACCAAGTTCTAAATAACCAATGATCTGGTTCTTTTAAAAAATTGCAGAAAAAGAACTCGACATACTTCCGTTATATGTTTATCTTAATTATAAATAACAGTTTTTGTTCATTCTTTGACATTTTTTCGTAATTTCGCACATATATAAAAATATAAAAAATTTCGGTAGCAATAAAGTCAATTAAGGACAGATGATACAAACAGAAAATCGATGCCTGGATTGGTATATTTTTTGGCTTAATTTCATTGAAAATGATGAAGAAATTTTTAACCTTCAAAAGTCTCTCTGAAATCATCCTTATGAATCTATAAAAATATTTTGTTTAATTTATTAATTGAAACTTGACTCAAGTAGTTATTTTTAGATTTGTTAACAAAAGTTTGTTTGTGTTATCCACATCATTGTTAAGGCTTGAAAAGGGGGTGGGGTCTATTTTATTCGGGAAAAGTTTACTGTGACGTCACACAAAACTATGATCTTTATGTATTTCTTATAATACCTGAAATTGAAATAATTTGCAAATTTTAACTTTATTAGCATAATAAACAACAATAAAACTTATCAAGGGTACCTTAAAGTGCGAAACGAAATAGAAATGCAACGAAACGAAACGAACTGAAACGAAACAAAATCTGCCGTAACGAAACGAAATCTACCGAAACGAAACGAAACCTATCGAAACGAAACGAAATCAAAACGAAACCTGCCGAAACGAAACGTAACAAAACTATCAAAATGTTTTTTTTTTTTTTTTCAAATTAAGGTTCATGTATATAATTATATATTTGTAACTGCATGTGGACTTTTTTGTTTTTACTTCAAATAAAATTTATATAGTTCAAGCACTTGTTAATATAAAATTTAATTTAATTACCGATTATGCTCCCATCTCAGTCTTATGATGTATTAAGGTTTCGTCAAAGGTCAACATGCTCAAAAATTTATTTTTACAATAGCCCCAAAACTATATGAAGTATAGAGTTAAAACTTTTACAATTTATCAATTTTTCATTGATTAACCTATAGAAAGTATCAATTGTTAAAAAAATACTTGGAAAAAATATTAATTGGGAAAATTCTTATAAAAAATGCATATATTTAAAAAAAATACACCTAATTAATTCCGTGCTCATAGTGAAAACCATCATTGCAGAAACAAAATATGTTTTTCAATGAAGAGCAAGTTGGACTTTGATAGTCTCTGGAAAGTTGTTT